AGTTATACATTGGAATAGATTCAGGATCATAGTCTGGCGCCTAACTAGGTTGCAATTACCCTTTTAGGACAGGTATGAGGCCAGATTATATTACATATGGTAGCGCCGCCTAGCGGATGGTTTTAGATGTTGCTACTAGAAATCTTGGAGTATTAAGATACATATCAATTAAGAGAATACTAACAGAAATAAAAGAACTTGAAAGGGAGATTTCCAAAACTATTGCTAAACGAATTTAATTATGGTTGCCGAAGATAAAATTAAAAATCAACGACTCCAACTGTTGATGACCTGGAACAGTCATCAATGGATTCTGATTCATCTGAAGATGTTGTTGGTGAAACTCCTGCTGCCGGTGAAGGGGAATCCTCTGACGAGAGAAATGAACCTGTTTCTCAATCCAAAGAGTCGGAGGAGGATAGAATCAACCGAATAGTGGATGAAAGAGTTGGTAGAATCGTTTCATCTATGTCCCAGAATTCTGGAGAATTACCTCAAGGTAATCAGAGAGCGAAACGTGCTAAAAAGTCAAAAAAGGCCAAACCAGTAGAAATGGAAGAGACTCTGAATGACGAGAGTATGTCTGAAGAAGAAAACGCTTCAGGTTATGTTTCAAAGACTAAGTCCAAGCGTCGTCGATTCTATGGCTACTCTTCAAACAAGCCTTACGAGCCTGAAGTTTTCATGGCTTGGGTTAATTATATTGATTCCCGTTATAAGACCTTAAGGAAGAATTATGGCTCGATGTATGATGTTGTTGAAGACTTAACCAGGGATGAAGCAAACAAATGGCTATTGAATAATACGACAACAAATGAAGGTACTTCGTGGGAGGAAATTCGTAAAGAGTTTATCTGTAGATATATTCCTGCTGATTATGGTCCCTTCTTAGCAAAGAAATGGGAAACCTTACTCCAAGGTCATGATGAGGTTGCTAGGTATAATGCTTATACGATGTCAGTGATTTCTGAAATCCGTAGCTATGAAGTCTTAACCAAAGGTATCAAACCGCCTGTCTTAAATGGGCCTTTGGATGATGAAATAATTAAGAAACACTATCTTAAAGGATTGAATATACAATATCTTAATCTTATTCCCGAAGGTATTGTGACTACTCTTCCTCTCAAACGGATTTTTGAGATTACAGAAGGTCTTGTGGAATATTGGAACGCAATAACTTGCAGACAAAAAGAACTTGGCCTGCTTAAAGTATTAGCTAATAATGTCAAATGGACTAACAACGAGAGACGTCACAAGCATCAGATGAAGTTAGAAGCTCCATCTGCCAAGAAGAGAACTTATGAGAGTTCAAAGCCTCAAAAGCAATACGAAGCAAAATATAGTAAAGATCCTATGAGAGATGTTAGAGTTCCTAGACCAGAAACTGTTCCTAAACCTGCTAGAAATAGCTGTTTTCAGTGTGGTGAACTAGGTCATTTTGCTAATGTTTGTCCAAAAAAAGAGGAACGTCCTCACTGAGGGACGATAAAGAAATCAGCAAGGCTTCCCTAAATAAGGAGGCATCGTTAGAACTTCGATCCTTCGATAGACTTGCTGTTGAAAATCAAGGGAAGTCAAAGAAAAGAAAGTTGGAAAAGAGAAAACCTTCCAAGTCAGAGAAATCTGAAGAAGCTGTTGAAGTTAATAAAGAGTTAGATGAAATACATCATTTTAGAGAAAAAGTTATGAATGAAGTGGAAGAAAGCTGGTCAAAAGAAAAAGAAGTAGTTGGAGAAAATATATCTGCTACTCCTCCGAAGTCTCGTTTTACAGTGCCGGTTGATTTTGAAAAACGCCAATTCGGGGCTATTGTTGACTCTGGTGCTGAAATGAATTTTGTAAGTTCCGAGTTAGTTCCGGAGAATGTCAAGCGTAAATGTCAGCCTGTCCAATTGAAGGGTGTATTCGGTAGTGGCAAGGTTGCTAGTCAGAAAGCTTGTTTACGATTTAGAATAAATGGATGTGCTTATTCTGATATTTTTTGTCTAGTAGATGATCTTCCTCGATCACTTTACTTAGGTCTTCCTTTTATTCAGAAATATTACAAATGTTTGGATTTCAAGAATTTGATTATGATCAGTGCTGAATATGAAAGAAGCTATGGATTAGTTGATGCTGAAGAATTTTTACAGTTGCTGTCCAAGAATAAACAACAGATTGGGATAACTTATCTTAACAGGGTGTCTACAGCTGAAATAAATGCTATTCAGACTTTTGATGAATTTGAGGGACTTGATACTCCAATAAAGTCGTTGTTAGAGAGGTATAATGATATCTTTGCTAAGGAATTGGAGAAGGCTCCGCCCTTGAGAGGTCCTAATATTGATCATAAGATAGAATTGATGCCGAATAAGTATCCTCCGTCTGCTTACCAGTATAGGTTGGGACAACCTGAATTAGAAGAATTAGATAGGTCAATTAAGACGATGTTAGATGCTCGATTAATTGAAGAAGGGTCAATAGAAGCTACTAAATTTAATGCCCCAATCTTATTCGTTAAAAAGAAAGATGGTACTTATAGGTTTTGTACTGATTTTAGATTATTGAATTCAATTACAATTCAAAGGCAATTTCAGATGCCTATTATTGGTGATTTAATTAAGAAAGTTTCGGGCTATAGATATTACTCAAGCTTGGATATGACTGCTAGTTTCCACCAAATCCGATTGGATGATGAAACAAAGCATTATACTGCTTTTACTGCATTTGGTAAGAAATACCAGTATCGGGTACTCCCGTTTGGGATGACTAATAGTCCTGCAGTACTTCAAGAAACACTTGGTAACGTGTTGCATGGAATTGAAGGCTGTGTTAATTATATTGATGATATATTAGTATATCTGAATTCGGAAGAAGAACATATGAAAACACTCGAGAAAATCTTTGAAAGATTTAGGAAATATACTTTTAAATTGAAACCTAGTAAGTGTTCTTTTCTCAAGTCAGATGTGGAATTCTTAGGATATTCAGTTGGGCTTAATGGTTCAGGCATGCCACCTAGGCAAACTGAAGTTATGAAGAATTTAGTATTTCCAACTACGAGAAAATCTATGTTGAGTGTTGTGCAATTTATGAATTATTTTAGACATCTTGTGAAGAATTTTGCTGATCTTGCTGTACCTCTTTATGATTATATTCATAAGAAGGCGAAATTAGGTGAACTACAGAAAAAGAGTTTTGAAGAATTACGAAAGTCGTTAATTGAAGCTCCTTTACTTCGAGCACCTAGGTATGATGGTAAGGTTACTTTTGTTATTGATGTCGATGCTAGCAATGTTGCAATTGGTGCTCTGCTTACTCAGTTAGTCGATGGAGAAAAGATTTTCCCGATTGAAATGGTTTCAAGGAAATTGAAAGATGCTGAGTTGAGATATCCTATTAGGCAAAAAGAAATGTTAGCAATTGTTTATGCGCTAGAGAAGTTTAGACATTATATTTTAGGCTTTAAGGTGATTGCATATAGTGATCATCAGAGTTTGTCTACGATATTGACAAGTAATTCTCGTCCGGAGTCGGATCGAATTATTCGTTGGTTAGAGAAGATTCAAGAATATAATTTGGATATCATATATCGTAAAGGTGAAGAGAACGTGATCGGTGATACGTTGTCTAGGTTTGTTGATAGTCCAGATGATCCATCTGTTGCTTTGGATGCCGTGGAGGCTGCAACAGCAGTAAGTTTGGAACTTGATAGAGAATTATTACATCTTATTAAGCAGGATTATGTTAATGATTCTAAGTTTAATGAAATTATTGAGATATTCAAAGCGCATGCTAAGGGAGAACCAATTCCTCTTCATTTCAAACAGACTATCAAGCATTATAGATATGAGAATGAGTTGCTTTTTCATAAGGTTCATTTAGATCATCATGATTATAAGTTGGTGGTTGTTGGTAAGAGTGCTGATGCTATTATTCAACGTACCCACGAGCTTGCGCACTTCGGAGTTGTGAAGACTTACTTTGAGTTACAGCCTTATATTTTTATCCCTTACTTGTTGAATCGGATCAAGGATCGTATCTCGATGTGTGATCTTTGTCAACGTACGAAGAACTTTCATGGTCAATTAGGCGGACTTATGATACCCAGCTCAGTTCCTCAAGGTGCTTTTGATAGAATCCATTTAGATTTCGTTACTGGACTTCCACTTGGTGCAAGTAGATTCAATAGGGTCTTAGTGGTTGTTTGTGCTTTAACCAAATATGCTATTTTCATTCCCACTCGTGACGATGCTACTGCTCAGGAGACTGCCGGTATTTTGATAACCGATGTTTTCTCATTATTCGGTATTCCTCTGGAGATTAGGAGTGATAAGGATATTAAGTTTGTTAATCAAGCTATGGGTTGTGTTTACGAATATTTGCGTATTGATTGGAGAACTACTAGTACGAATAATCCTAGTACTAATGGTCAAGTTGAAGCTATTAATAAACAACTCGGTAATGTTCTTCGTGTTTATGCTCGTCATGAACAGGTGAACTGGGTTGGATATTTGAAGCTTGCTCAATTTGCTATCAATACGAGTTATTCGACAGCCATTAGCATGACACCCTATGAAGCTTTATTTGGAAGACTTCCACGTCGCCCTTCGGGTGTGGATATGATTATGATGCGTCATGGGAATGAATCGATGGAATATTGGTTAAAAAGGATGCAAATGGTACATGATCAGGTTTCGTATAATATGCAACTTAATCAAGAATCCATGGAGCAAAATCTGAATGGGGGGGTGAATCCTCAGACATACGAGATCGGTGATCTTATTTTGCTCCATCGAGATGCTTTCTTTTCAAGTGTTAAGTATAAAAAGTTGACTGATGTGTATTATGGTCCATATAAGTTAGTTGCGAAAAAGAATGCAAATGCTTTTGAACTTGATTTTAGAAATGAGTCTGCTAAACATCCTGTGATCAATACAAGGTATTTCAGACCACATAAATCGGTTAATCAGTTTCTTGATACACCTCCTTGGAAGTTGTATGATATGATTCAGAAAGCTGATAGAATCAATGGTATATTAGGTTATGACCTTGAAGAAGGTGTTATCGACGTACTGTGGAGTGGATGTAATCCTGCTCATGGTACTAGAGTGTCGGTAGAATGGTTTAATAAATTTGTTCCTCGAATTTTGAGAGATTCGTTGATTGCAAATGTGAGAAATTTGCAAAGGAATAATGGTGTTGTTGAAGAGCAAAGGATTGCTGGAGCTGGAGAGACAGAGATCCAGAGAAGTAATGAATAAGGAGAACAAAAGTAAGTGAATTACTTTTGTCCTTTTGAAGGGGGCATATGTAATGGAATGTTCCTTGATATTCATTACTTCCCTTCTGGGAGGCTGACGGTTCGACTCTGGTCGACGATCTTTAGTTATAGTGTCTTGGGAA